GAGCCTCCCCCCCCAGTGCACCTGCCAGCATCTGTGCCTGAGCCTCCTGCCAATTTCTGTGGTTTTACAGCCACATTTTCCCCTCTGTCCCCCTGCCCTGTTGTGTCTCCTGGATGGAGAGTCCCGTTAGCAGCCTGAGCCCTCTAGCTTAGCTCCCCTCTGCATACCTGGCACGTCTGCCACTGTGCCCCTGCCTCTGGTACCTCCCCCAGTGCTGAGCGGTGGGCAGCCAGTTCTGGTGCTGAGCCGGGCCGGGTCCTGTCCAGGGCGCTGAGCAGTGGGCAGCCAGTTCCGGTGCTGAGCCGGGCCGGGTCCTGTCCAGGGCGCTGAGCAGTGGGCAGCCAGTTCCGGTGCTGAGCCGGGCCGGGTCCTGTCCAGGGCGCTGAGCTGTGGGTAGCCAGGTCCGGTGCTGAGCCGGGCCGGGTCCCTTGTAATAAGAGACTGTTGGCAGCACTAGGTCCCACCCAGATGCTGCCTCTGGCTGCTCCGCCGAGAGACTAAGTGTCTGAGCAGAGAAATAGAAACTTATCTTTCCTGCTCTGGTGCCCTCTGGGTCCTAATACAGGTGTGACGGGGCTGCCTGTGGGAGCCAGCTGCGGTCACTCCATCAGGGTGAACTGTAAAATAATGGGGGCAGACAAAACTGGTGACTCAGAAATTCAAACAACGCAGTTCCCTTAAAGTGCCCAGCCTCAGGCCTCCGTCCAGACACACACGTCAGATAGGATGATAATTACTGAAAATCTGATCTCATCATAGAAAAGAAAAGGTTCTTCCAACCCCAAAGGATCAGCCACACACCCAGGTCCAATTATAACTTAGATCTTCCCCAAAATACACACTATAGTCAATTCTTATTAACTAAACTAAAATTTATTCAAAAAGAAAAGAGAGAGAGTGTTGGTTAAAAGATCAATATACAGACAGACTTGAATTCAATTCTTGAGGTTCAGGTACAGAGCAGAGATGAGCTTGTAGTTGCCAAAAGTCCTTTTAGAAATAGTCCATAGGTTATAGTCCAATGTCCATATTCAGGGTGGCTCCAGTCAATGACTGGGGATCTCAGTCCTTATGGCTTAAGGTTTCCCCCTCTTGAAACCCAAAGCAGATCTGAGATGAAGCAGGATTGTGTCCCAGGGTTTTTATACATTTCCAGCAGCCTTTCGGCCTGAGAAAACAATAGGCTTAACTCCCCTTCTCCCAAACATCCTGGCAATTAGTACAGGGTAATTTATCCATTAAACAGTTCCGATCCAGGTTACCACAACCTTCAAAGAGACATAGAGACAATAATACTATTTCCCTCAAGTGTCTTCCTAAATGTTAATATTCCTTTTTTGATCTTTGAATCAAAGCTATAGCAATAGACAACACTTGTTTGGTATCAGGGGGTAGCCGTATTAGTCTGTAACTACAAAAACAACAAGGAGTCTGGTGGCATCTTAAAGACTAACAGATTTATCTGGGCATAAGCTTTCGTGGGTTTGCTTACATCACAAGACCTGAGCAAACACCTACCCTTCTATCTCTAACAATGCAGACTTGCATTTCAAAGCTCTGTTCATTTACAGATCTTCCTAACCAGTCTCTAAAGTTCGGCCATGGGTCAGGTCAGTCTGGGAGTTAATTAACTCTTTCTGGCCCTGTCACCTTCCAATGAGATATTATATCACACTCCTAATGTCACAACAGGTCACTGTCTGGGCCTTGGGCTCCACGTCGTGAGCAGGGTCTAGCCTCACGGCTGGGTTGGGTGTCTGCGCCAGGCCAGCCGGTCCCCCCATGCCCAGCTGGAGGAGCTCGTACGGATTGGTCAGGAACCAAAGGCGATGGCATGGCGAGGAGGTGGGGGCCGCCCATGCCCTGCTCCCTCCAGCGAGCAGGGGCAGCAGGGCACTGCCCTGGAGCGGGGGTGTGAGAGGGACGGGCGGGGTGGGGACCATTTGCTGACCCATGTCCGGCTGAGGAAGCTTGAGTGGATGTGTTGCCAAGTCTGCAGTGCCAGGGGTGGTGTTTTCTGAGCTGGCGTCGCGGGTTGTGGGATTTGGGACTAGTTTGCTCATAATCGGCTGCATTTGGGCTGCTTAGATTTAATTCAATGACAAAAATAGAACTAGCTGTAATTCAACATGGATGCCGGGGCCCGGTTGGCGGGGGCGAGGGGTTATTGCTGTCACAGCGATGCTGTGTCAGGGTCTCTCCTGAGGGGGCCGGGCTGTCCTGGTGGGACACAAGCTGGAAGTGCAGGTCCTGAGTCGCAGCCTCTCCCCCCTGGGGGGCTCCGTGTCTGTGTCCCGGGACCGAACGGCCTGGATGAGGAAAGCGGATGGGGACCGGGCTCTGCGGGTGCATGTGGGGGCAACCGGGCCCCTCACTGTTCCGCTCCCCTCTCTACTTTCGATGGCCTTTGCTACAAACAGAGGAGCACTGGCTTGGCCTCCCTGTGGGGACCCTGTGGCCCATGGCCCCCCTGCTCTGTGCTGCCCCGGGAGCAGGCCTGTGGGAAAAGGACCATGGGGATCTCCGTTAACCCAGCCTTCCCCTGCAATATGGCCATCTTGTGCCTCTGCGAACCCCAGGGCTGGCTCTGAGATTTCCTTCCTGGCGCTAAGAGCCAAATTCTTCCCCGGCTCGTGACTTTGGGAGTTGGAGACACGTGTCTCACAGCCACACTTGGCCTTAAGTGTTCAGTATCTTAGTGCAAGAGACGCTGTTCTTCCCACAGCTGGCCGTTGAGTGACTATCTGTACGGGACTATTCAATAATACATTACAGCCTTATTGGCTGGCCGTGCCCTTTTCCGAACCCCCAGGAGACTCTCCCCAGTTCAGAACGGCACCCAGGGCTGTGCAGGGGGCGGAGTTGTTATTGTTTGCGCTTTGTCGGGGCTTTTTGTGGAGATTCGGTTCCCACTTGGTGAGCTGAGTGATCACGTGTCGTGCTGGTGTCCACTTGCCGGGAACGTCAGGGAATTAGCTCAGTTTCGCTCCCTAGCTCAGAGTGCTTTACAGACGCTAGATTTTCCAGCCCTCCTATAAATTAGAAGTCCATTTTACAGATGGGATTACTGAAACAGCGATACTGTACATTTCTGGTCTTTTCAAAGAAAATCATTCCAGTTTTTGACAGTGCAGAATGTTCGGAATTTTTTCACAGGTCTTCTACACGGGTATTTCTGCTTTGTTTAATGTCCATAATGGTCTCTCCAGCAAGGTAGAAATGAATGTACAGGTGCTGTAAACACTGACACCACCGCTACACAAAGTACAGTCCAATGCATAAAACAAACTGAAAAAGAAAAACAGACACTTTTTTGTTAATGTCTTTCAGTTGTACACATCTTAGGTGTAACAACCCACTGTACAGTGTTGTCTCTAAGTCAATGTGGCAGGGCCACACGACGAGTCTGACGAAACTGAGAGAGCACGTCAGGAATCGAAACTGAGAGAGCTGGTGCCCCGTCCTTTGTTAGAGTCAGTAGCTGTACCGGGATGTAGTGTATATTCGGGGCAGCAGCCAAACATCTCCTAGGTGTGTACCATATCCCTGGGTCAGTGCGTCTGCACTTCCTTTCCCAATGGCGAGTGGAACCAGAAGCAATTGACCAGCTGGAATATTTGTCATATAAAACTTGGGTGATTTGGGTGAGGGAAACAAAAGCGAGCCTGTTAAACACACTTGTCACCGGAGGGAGAGACTCTTCACATTTTCTAACAAATTCATCACAAAGGAGGGAGTTGTCCTCTCCCCCATATGAATGCAACAACTCTTTCTAGCTCTCCTCCACTATGTTAGTGATCATGGTGTGGGTAGAATCATAGAATCAGGGAACTATAGGACTGACAGGGACTTGAGAGGTCATCTAGTCCAGTCCCCTGCACTCATGGCAGGACTAAGTATTATCTAGATCATCCCTGACAGGTGTTTGTCCAACCTGCTCTTAAAAGTCTCCAGTGATGGAGATTCCACAACCTCCCTAGGCAATTTATTCCAGTGCTTAACCACCCTGACAGCTAGGAAGTTTTCCTAATGTCCAATCTAAACCTCCCTTGCTGCAATTTAAGCCCATTGCTCCTTGTCCTGTCCTCAGGGGTTAAGGAAGGCAATTTTTCTCCCTCCTCCTTGTAACAACCTTTTATGTACTTGAAAACTGTTATGTCCCCCTCAGTCTTCTCTTCTCCAGCCTAAACAAACCCAATATTTTTAATCTTCTCTCATAGGTCATGTCTTCTAGACCTTTCATCATTTTTGTTGCTCTTCTCCGGACTCTCTCCAATTTGTCCACATCCTTCCTGAAATGTGGTGCCCAGAACAGGACCCAATACTCCAGCTGAGGTCTAATCAGCACGGAGTAGAGCAGAAGAATTACTTCGCATGTCTTGCTTACAACACTCTTGCTAATACAGCCCAGAATGAGGTTTGGTTTTTTTGCAAATATGTTGACTCATATTTAGCTTGTGATCCACTATGACCCCCCCCCGATATCTTTCCACGGTACGCCTTCCTAGGCAGTCATTTCCCATTTTGTATGTGTGCAACTCATTGTTCATTTCTAAGTGGAGCACTTTACATTTGTCCTTATTGGATTTCATCCTATTGACTTCAGACCATTTCTCCAGTTTGTCCAGGTCATTTTGAATTTTAATCCTATCCTCCAAAGCACTTGCAACCCCTCCCAGCTTGATATTGTCTGCAAACTTTATAAGTGTACTCTCTGTGCCATTAGCTAAATCATTGATGAAGATATTGAACAGAACCAGACCCAGAACTGATCCCTGCGGGACCCCACTCGTTATGCCCTTCCAGCATGACTGTGAACCACTGATAACTACTCTCTGGGAACAGTTTTCCAACCAGTTTTGCATCCACCTTATAGCAGCTCCATCTAGGTTGCATTTCCCTAGTTTGTGTATGAGAAGCTCATGCGAGACAGTATCAAAAGCCTCACTAAAGTCAAGGCATACCACGTCTACCACTTCCCCCTATCCACAACACTTGTTACCCTGTCATAGAAAGCTATCAGGTTGGTTTGACACAATTTGTTCTCTATTTTTAAAAAGAAGAACAGGAGTACTTGTGGCACCTTTGAGACTAACAAATTTATTAGAGCATAAGCTTTCGTGGACTACAGCCCACTTCTTCGGATGCATCTCTAAGGTGCCACAAGTACTCCTGTTCTTTTTACACATTATAAAGTGATTCAACTAGGGCAGGGGTAGGCAACCTTTCAGAAGTGGTGTGCCGAGTCTTCATTTATTCTCTTTAATTTAAGGTTTCGCGTGCCGGTAATACATGTTAACGTTTTTTAGAAGGGGTCTCTCTATAAGTCTATATTTATATAACTAAACTATTGTTGTATGTAAAGTAAACAAGGTTTTTAAAACGTTTAAAAAGCTTCATATAAAATTTAATTAAAATGCTGATCTTACACCGCCAGCCTGCTCAGCTCGCTTCCAGCCTGGGGTTCTGTTCACC